GGCGGGGAGACCAGGCAGAGGGATGGCGCCGGCGCGCGCAGTCCCGCCCGCCTCCCGCTGGGACTGGAAACTGTGGGAGCGCCCATTTTACGGAGCAGGAAACTGAGGCGGGGCAGGGCGCCCATCCATACTGAGGGCCTCGTCCCAAAGTTCCGCGGGGTGCGCGTCTGTTTCTCACTCTTGTGTTCATGTTCCTTCCCTATGCACTTTGTGCAGCGGCGATGTGACAGTGTCTCGGGATATGAGGTGTGGCCTTGTGTCTGGGCGTTCATCTCTGCACCCTGGGGCTCTCCCTGACAAATGGAGGCTGAGGACCCATGCTCGGGGGAGTTACGGAGGGAGGAGAGGAGGGGCTGCAGGCTGAGGTCCGGAAGACGGAGAGAGAGGGGCTGACACTCCAGAGCTCCAGAGACAAAGCCGTTTGGCGAGTTCACCTGGGCACTCTGGAGCGCTTGGGCACCACGAGTCTTCCCAGGCCCACGCTTGGCCGACCTCTTTCATTGCCTTTTCCCAGTTCAGCCTCTCACCAGCCCTGGGCCGCCCGTGCACTTCTGTCCCCAGTGCACAGGTGAGCAAACATGCCCGGGGAGGTTCAGTCCCCACCAGCCAGGGAGGCGCAGGGGCTGGGTTTGAATCCGGTGGCTTCCGGTGCTTGCACAGCATTAATCCCCAACTGTTACGTAACCCAAGGAGTGGGGAGGGGTTAGCAGGGCTCCGTGTGGCTGGAGTGAGCCTTCGGAAATTTCCAGAGAACAGATTTTGTTATCTGGAGGTCCATACAGCTCAGGGACAGGAAACACCCTCTGAGTAGTCACGTGTCCTGGTATGAGGAGCAAGTAGGGCCGCCCTGGGTGTGGGGGACCCTGAGGGGCCAGTGTGTGTGAGTCACTAGGTTTCGGACACCTCCCCAGGACTCTGGCCGCGGGCTGCAGGCCACAGCGCCAAAGGCCAGCCGGGCCATATTCTGAGTCCCCAGTGATGAGGGCCAGGAGGGTCGTGCTGAAGGTAGGCAGCTCCTGGGAGGGGGCTGGGAGGACCATGTCACTGTCACTCTGAATCCACAGAGCACATGGCCACGTGTCACCTCAGGCATCCCTGCTGCCTCTACTGTGTGCACTGTCTGTACTGGGCCATGCACACAGGAGACAGAGCCAGGCCCAGCAAGGTGATCGCGGTCTAAGGGACCACGCAGACATGGCCAGAGCCTCACCAAGCCCACTCAGGCAAGGCCAGCGGACACATGAGGTGGGTGTTGTCCCATCTGGCACCTCAGAAGAGACACTGAGGCCTAAGGAGGTGCATGAGTGGTCAGTAAGGCCGCCCACGAGTGACAGCCCAGCTGGGGTCCCTGCCCCCCCATCTTCCCATGTCCCCTAAGATGCTTCAGCCCAGAAGCTGGGAGAGGTGCCAGGTGAGGCCCTCATGAGCGGTGGGCACTGAGCCGCCCAAACCCCAGTGGCAGAGAAGTCAGGAGACGCTGGCCCTGAGCCTTGAAGCCTGGTCAGCTGATGCCTGCACCAGGGCCAGCAGCCTCCCCGCCCCGTGGCTGCCCCTCGGCTCCCGCCCACCGCTGCATTTTCTGCCTGAGCCTCTGCTGGGGAGCTGGGAGCCCAGGCCTGCACCACTCCAAGCAAGGTCCTCCCCTGCCCTGTCTCCCTGGGCCCCAGTGTCCATGTGCACTGATGGTCCTACACAGCGGCTTGCAGAGGCAGTCAGGGATAAATCCAAGTGCCACCTCCTGTCTCCGAAGGCCCAGGAAGGACAGCTTTGGCTTCCTGGGCCCCGTCACTCTGCCCCACCCTCTCCTTCCCCAGAAAGGGTCCCTGAAATACCTCCTGGTCTGATTCTTCTCCCCCTCCGCCACCACTTCTCTTTTCGCCTCAATCCACTCAACACACATTTGCCAGCAGATGCTGGGGAGGGAGCTAACAGACCCCAGTTTTCTGTGCTGAAGGAACCAGCATTCCAGAAAGGGACAGGAAACAGAGACGGAAGTAGACTGGAAGCCAAGAGGAAAGAAAGCAGGACAAAGAATGACCCCAAGATGGACATCACTGCCTTGGCGGTCACATATCCCAGAGAAGGGTCCCCCTGGACCATGTCTAGATTTATCCACACTTGGCTTGCTTCTGTTTGTCACGGTAAAATTCACCTGTGATGAAATGAACCCTTTCAGGGGGTAAGCACAGTGTTGTCCACACACTCACGACATACAACCATCTCATTCTAGAGCTTTCTTCCCACACAGAAGCCCCGTGCCCGTCAGTAATCCTTGGGTTGGCTGATGCCCCAACATCATGGAGCCGTTCTTGGTGAATGTTAAGGCAGTTTACCCCATCTTCATGGGGGACACTGGGGCACGGTTTGCATGGGGAGCTCAGAATTGGCCTCGCTGACCCCTCTATAGGATTCAAAGGCCAACAGCAGCAAACTGGACCTCCTGCCTGATCCGTGGTCCCCTCCTTGTCCCCCCCCCACTGTGTCCCCCTTCCAGTCTCTGTTCTCCTGCTGACCTGAGATAACTCACTAGACTCAGCAGATTCCCCAGGAGGCGAGGCGGGCAGCTGGGCTTAAAATACCTGCCTCAGGTGGAAGGCTGGCTGCTGAGACAGCTCCGGGCTCCCGGGAGGCTGAGGAGGCTCACGGGGCTGGCCCCCGGCCTTCCGGGAGGTGACCTGTGGGAGGACGTCCCAGGCTGGGAGATGTGACTCAGCCCGCATCTCCTCAAACACTGTGGGCTCTGGTCACGTGTGTGTCCCTGTGAGATTCCAGCCTGACCACATCTGTCTCGGGGATACTTGAGGCCTTGTGAGCAGAGGGGCAGGCAGGGTCCCTGTTGCCATGGTGCCGTTGCCTAGTGACTCTGGTCCAGCCCCTGAGCCCTCGCTTGTTCAGGATCAAGTTTGTCCTCGTCTCTCAGCCTGGCCGTGATATCAGAAATGACACCTTCTAGAAGCTTCCTTCCCCCACGGGTCACCCCTCACCTTTCTCCAGGTTTCTCCACCTGTCTGTCACATCTCTGCTCCTCAGGGCTGTGTCACCTTGCCTGGGGTCTCAGGGTTCACTTCTCAGTCCCCTGGCCCCACCTTCCTCCTGCCCACAACCCCTGAAGGCATGGTCCTGGCCCTTAGCTTGAGCATAAATAGTGGATACGTTTTCTTGTTGTTGTTAAGTGCCATCAAGTCGCCTTGGACTCAGTGACCCCGTGAGGAGCAGATCCGGACCCTGTCCCGTCCCACACCATCCTCCATCCAGGTAAACTCCAGCCCAGCAGTCAGGGTGTCAACCCCTCTTTTTGGGGTCGCTCTCTGCCTCTTCACCTTTGCCAGCATGATGTTTTTCCCCAAGGACCCCCCAGCCCCTCCTGACAACATGCCCCAAGTACGAGAGGTGAAGTTTCACCATCCTGGCCTCCAGCGAGCACCCTGTTTGCACTTCCTTCCCAGCAGACCTGTTTGTCCTGCAGGCCATCCGTGGGATGTCCAGTGCTCTGCCCCAACACCACAGCCCACAGGCACCTATTCTGTCATCCTTAGTCATCGTCCATCCTTCAGGTGTATTTGAAGCAACAGAAAAGGCCATGGTTTGGATCAGATGCACCTTAGTCTTTGAACTTAAGGGGTCAGGGAGGAAACCAGGTCGGAGCCTATTATGCTGCCAGCCTGCAGCTACGCTGATTGGATGCCCTCTGGACAACCGTAGAGAACGTGCCTCAGAATGTCCAGTCCGAGATGAAGGGACATTGACCGCTGGCACAGGTGGTCAGCACCAAGGTGGCCATGGGAGCTGTGTCCTCCGCCGAGCCGGATGCAGCATCGACCTCGATGCAGGCCATTGATCGGCCCTGTCTCCAGTGCCCCATCACCTGCTGTGTGGACATCACAGGCAGAGAATCTGCATTTTCACTGGCATAGGTCCCTTTGCTCCTTGCCAGAGAGGTCACTCTGTGTCCCCTGAATGGCTTTCTGGGACAAGGGGACATTAGTGGGAAAACTGGCTCTTCCCCTGGTCTTCAAAGCAACAGTGGTGCATCTGCTATCGTTCTGCTTTCGCCCCTGGGCCTCCTCTCACTCCCACCCACTCCCTTCTCTCAGAGAAGGAGTCTGGGTGTGACCTCAGGGCCCCCCAGCGATGCTTCACATCACCTGTCTGCCAGATCTTTTTGGCCATGTAAGGGACCTTGTCCACCAGTATCAGGAATTGGAGGGGCTGTGTCTTTGGCACTATGACTCCCTCCACACCTGCGGTTACAGTCTCGTTTGGGAATGGGCTCTCTGTTTATTGTTCTTGAGCAGATGACTTCAGGTGTGGTTTGATCCAGGCACTCGGACAGCATTGGGAATTTACCCCCTGTTTTGGTATCCAGTGGAGTGGCAGAGAAAAGCCAGCAGTGCCAGCTCACACCCTGCCTGCCAGGCAACCCAGGAGAGCAGAGAGCTTCCTCCAGACAGCCGCTGGGCAGAAGAGAGGCACACTCTCATTGGCCCACAAGTTAGACTCCAGCCAATCAGCACAGCCTCGTTCCTATGGGGCAGCGCCCTGCAGTGGGATCCCCCCACACTCCTACCCTTCGATCTAGGGTTCTGGGGAAGCTTTGCTTCTGCAGTGCCTCCCTCCCTCTTATCCCAGAGAAGGTCCACACCTTCTGCAGGAGCCCAGAACAAACGTGCGTGCACCAACCCCATGCCGCCTTGGCACTGCCTTAGAGAGGGGGACAAGGGCAGTCCCAGCTGGGGGGCCTGAGCAGGGAGAGAGAGACCTGGGCTGAGACCATGCGCAGGGACCTCGGGGAGTCAGCACCAGGTGCTGCCACAGGCAGCTGCCCCTGTGTCTGCCTGCACCAGGCACTCTGAGTGTGCACTTGTCACCCTTCTGGGTATGTGCTAACTCCCGCGGGGTTACTGGGGTACCTGCTGGAGTGGGGGGGAAGGCTGAGAGGGGGTACGGGCAAGAAGGGATACCTGCTGGAGTTGGGGGGAGGCTGATGAGGGGTGCAGGCAGACGAGGGGTACAGGCAAGAGGGCATACCTGCTGGAGTGGGGGGGAAAGGCTGAAAGGGGGTACAGGCAAGAGAGGTTGGCCTAGAGCTGAAAGTTCTCCCTTCCTGCCGCAATCCCCTCAGTATTAGAGCCTCCAGGCTGGGTCTGCTGTACACACACGCTGCGGGGAACAGAGCCTGTTGTATACACACATTGAGGAGAACAGAGCCCGTTGTATACACACGCTGCGAAGCGTTCTGTCTGCTGTATACACACGCTGAGCCAAACAGAGCCTGCTGTATACACACACTGAGCAGAACAGAGTGTGCTGTATACAAATGCTGAATGGAACCGAGCTTGCTGTATGCACATGCTGCCTGGCACAGCGTCTGCTGTTTATCTACTCTGCGGGACACAATGCCTGCTGTATACTCACCCTGTGGGGCACAGAGCCAGCTGTATATCTACTCTGCAGGACACAATGCCTGCTGTATACTCACCCTGAGGGGTAATACCTGCTGCACACTCACCTTGCAGGACCCTGCCTGCTGTATACCTTCCCTGCCGGGCACAATATCTGCTGTCTACCCTCTCTAGAATGTCATAGGTCTGGGCATGTCTGAGGGATCCACTCGGCCCTGGGAACACACAGACTCTCCCTCAGCCTTTCCAGCTGTGCTCTGTGAACCCTCTCCAGTCAACCTCCAGGTCTCTGTCCGGCTCAGCTTAACACCCCTCCATGAAGGCCCCGTGACCCTACCTGTGCCCACCCAACCATCCCTCCGTGAGGCCCCCATGATCCTACCTTACCATCCCTCCATGATGCCCAGGTTGCCGACTCCCCCTCTCTGACCGCTAGTCCCCCACCTGGCTCCACCTCTTTTTTAAATTTTATTTTATTTTATTATTTTTGTGTGCGTGTACCGTCAAATCAGATCTGACTGGTACAGGAGGAGATTGCCCCTCCTTCTCCGGCAGAGCATCTGGTGGATTCAAACCGTGCACCTCTGGGGTTGTAGTTGCAGCTTCTTGCCACTAGGCCACCAGAGCTCCCCTCTGGCTCCACCTCTTGATGGTGGCCTGTCCTCCCTCAGCTTCTGCCCCTCCGCAACACTCACTACACACACACACACACACACACACACACACACACACCTCTGAGGGAACAGCCCAGCCACGGGTCAGTATATTCATGCCCGTGACCTCATGCCCCTCTGCAGCCAGAGGACTCCAGACCCAGGTACCTCCCTCTCCCCACCCCACCTCCTTGGTGTCCCACCCACAGCATGTCAGAAGTGACCCCTAGGGTCACGCCTTTTCTCTCAGCCCCTCCTTCCACCCAGCGGCCAGCTGTCAGCAGTTTAGCCAGCACTTCCCGCCCTTCCACTCCCAAAAGGAGCGCCTTGCCCCCAGCCATACCCCAAGATCTCCACAGCCTCGCCCTACTACCTGCAGCTGGAGGGGACTGTTGCCAAAATTCATTGCACGCCTCCCAGCCCTAAGCTCATCTCCACCGCCCCAAACCCAGTGGCCCTCACTGGAGCCACCCAGACCCTCTGGCTCTTCCTCTACCACCTAACTGCAGCCTGAACCCTTTCTCTCTGTTCTCTTTGCTACCTCAACCCCCACCCCGTCCCCCACCACACTGTTCCTTCACTGTCTCCTCCTCCATCCACGGAGGGCCTGGACTGATCCCTCCATTCTGAGATAGGATTGTACCCGGCCAGGCCGGTGACCCGACCACAGCTGCGCGGGGAGTGATGGACTCCGACTCAGTGACTCCACGTCCAGCAGAGCCAAACCCCGCTGGACCTGCGCCAGCCTCCCATTCACTGCTGTGCTGAGCACGTGTGGCCCCGCTGGCTCAGTCCGAGTCACTGTTGTTGTTGTTGTGTGCCCCGCCCCCTCTGACCTAAGTTTCCCGGTCTCTGCTGCAGACTCGCCAGCTCAGTCTCAGCTGTGTGTCAGACACGCTGATACCTGACCCTCCAGCCGGTTTTCAGAGGCAGGACATCACACAGGAGGAGACTGTTCATCTTTCTCCCTCGGAACAGCTGGTGGATTCGAACCGCGTACCTTACAGATGGCAGCGTAGCTTTTTACCACCAGGTCGCCTAGAGCTCCTAGCGGTAGGAAGCAGCGCTGAGATACCGAAGTTGCACGGTTCCAGCTTCTGGAGGGCCTTCCCTTCCGTAGCTGGGGAGTGAGCGACCCACAGAGCCGACCCAGCACTCCTCCCTCGCCCCTGCCCAGTGGTCAGGAGCAAGTGGGCGGCAAGGTGGTCTTCCTGGAAGAGTCACCAAGCCGAACGTGGGCTGAGCCCAGGGGACAGAAGGGCAGCGGCAGGGGCGCCCTCTCCACCCCCCTGTCTCCCAGCCGCGCGGCCGCCAGGGGGCGCCGTGGAGCCACAGCGCGCCGAGCGCGGACTGAGCGCGGACCGAGCGCGCGCGGCGTCCAACCGGGAAGGGGTGGGACGCTGGGGACGCCCGAGGGCCGCCGTGTCCTCATCGGTTCAAGCCCGCGGCCGAGGCTCCGCCGGAGGGGCTGCCGCAGAGACTGGGAAACTGAGGTCAGAGGGGGCGGGGCTCGCAGCGGCGGCGGAGGGTGGGGCGGGCGCGCCCCTCGGTGACAGCAGCGCCCGGGAATGTGCCGCCCGGGAGCGGGCTCTGCGTCCCCGCCCTCGGGCTGCGCTGGGGCCCTGGTAGGGGGTGACGGGGCGGGCACCCCTGACGTCGAAATCAGACGTCCAGAGGTGCCTGTCACAGAGCTGGGCAGCCCTGGGGCAGGGATGGGTGGGGATAGATGGGGAGACCCTCGTTGGAACGCACTCCGGGCGCCGGCGGCGATAGGACAGCGCCCAGGACTCCTGGAACCGTGCAGGGCAACCTCGGGGCGCGCATTCCCGGGCCCTGAGCGCGGCGCCCAGAATAGCCGCCCCAGCGGTCTCCACCCCCTCACGCCTTCCCAAGGGCACCGGGACCCGAATGCCTGGACAGTCGAGCGCGGCGCTGGGGACCAGAGTCAGTGCCCCGCCGCACATCGCGCCAAGGCGCACGCTGGCCGCGCGGGGGCGCACGGGACCGCGCCCCTCTGGACCCCGGCCTGGGTGCACCCCGGGAGGCCTGGTGGGAGGGGCCGTGCCGGGCTCCCCCCCCGCCCCACCCCTCGGGCCCCGCCGCTTCCGTCCGCCCCGGGGCCAACCCGCAGTCCGATCGCGCAGCTTCGGCTGGTAAGTCCCTCTTCCTATCCCTCCACTTTCTCTATGGGCGTCCCGACCCTGGAATGAGTTCCTCCTCCGGCTCCCTGGGCCTCCCTGGGTGGGAAGAGGTGAGGAGGCTTGCTTCTTGGGGAATGCGAAGTCTGGGGAGCAGTAAGAACCCCCTTATCCATTACCCAGACCCCTATCTCGCAAGCCAGTGCTGGGAGCCCGGCAGAGGGGCTGTCAGGCTAAAGCCCTCCTCGCTTGCTCTCTGGCCCTGCCTGCTTCCTGAGATTGCTAGGGTTCTGGGCTCCCCGAGGGCCTGAGTAGCAGCTGGCCTGGCCTGATCTATGGACCAGCCCTGGCCCTCCCAGGCTCTCCGCTGGACCCCAGATCGCACCAGGAACCCGAAGTCCAGTGTCAGAGCTGGGAGGACAGGCTGGGGATCCGTGGGGGCACCTGGCTTTTGGTGTCCAAGGGTTGCCTTCATGTCCTGCCTGTCCTTTCGGTACTGCTGACCTCCAGCCGCCTGGCCCTGGCTCGAGAATGTCCTGTCCACTGTGCACGCTGCATGTGTCTGTCACTCCTTCCCCTGCCAGACCAGGCCAGGGTCACACCGAAGGGGTGGGGCATGGCCAGTGGGCCCATCTTTCCCCCACTGGATGGGGAGACTGAAGCCCAGCTTGCAAACCCCCCATCCCAGCTGCCTCCCACCCCCATTTCCTCCACCAGCCTCAATGGTGGTCTTCTTTGCAGGCCACCCTGGTGCCCCCTCCCCATCTGCAGATGAGGTCATGTGGTGCCAAGTGGACCAGGACCAGGTCACCCCTCCAGCCTCACCCCAATCCTTGAGGCCAGGGTGTGGGGCGGAGTTGGAGGGGGACCCCTGCCAGGATCCTGACCCCTGACCCAGCCCTTCCGGCTGCACCTCTACAGTCATAGAATCATGGATTGAGTCCAGCTGGGCCCCACTGTGCAGATGGGGAGACTGAGGCCCAGGGAAGGGGAGAGGCCGGCCTCCAGCCACGCAGGAAGGTACAAGGACGCTGGGGAGGAGGCCTCTGTGCTCAGTCCTTGTGTGATCCTTTCACACAGCAGACATTTATTAAGCACCGACTGTGTGCATTTCACAACGATAGGCCTCCCAGAGCTTCAGTTTATAGTAACCACAGATAATCGAGTGCCCCCACTTCACTTACCTTATCAAACGGACCCTTCCACCTGTGCTGGAAGGGGTGGCTTCTTCTCAGAGGTGAGAAGTGAGGCTCAGAGAGGTGTACAGGGTTCCCAGGCAGTCAGGGCAGGGGGGCGCTGTCTGCCCCAGCCCTCTACAGGTGCCCTCTCTGTGCCCCAGACCCCGCCCTCCCTGGAATCTCCTGCTGCTTCTTGGGACCCTCCTGAGCTGTGGTCTGGGGGGCAGCGCTCAGGTAACAGGGCAGGAGGCTGAGGGCAGGCGGTGGGAATGCAGCCCGCAGCTTGAGGTCAGCAGCTGGCGCTGCCCCTCTCTCCCCAAGTAGGGTCCGGGGGAGTGGACCCCCTGGAGTTCCTGGACCCGCTGTTCCAGCACCTGTGGGCGGGGCGTCTCGGTGCACAGCCGTCGCTGCATCCGGTGAGAACAGCAGGAGGGGCTCCCGCCAGGCGGGGCTGGAGGGGGTCCCTACCCCTGTCTCTTGCCAACCCAGCCCAGCCCCTGGCCGCACCCTCAGCCTGCCCACACATGCTGTGCCCTTTAATCCCATGGATCCATTGGAATGCGGGTGGGGTTGGAGGGGGCGGTGGCAGACAGCGCCTCTGGGGAGGGGGTCCCTGGGGGCCTGACCACACTGCAGCCACCCTCTCCCCATAGGTTTCCTGGAGAAGAGCCTTGCTGGGGGAGCACTCATGAGTACCGCCTCTGCCAGCTGCCGGTGAGTTCTGCCCTCCTCGCAGACCCCTGAGTCTGCCCCTAAGTCCTCCCTCTTCCTGACCATGCCCGCAGACTCTCCACCACTCTGCCAGACTCCTTGAGGCTGCAGTGGCTGAGGGAGGCGGAATCTGGAGGCCTGCCCTAGCCCTTGACCGGGCCATCTCTGCCAGGACTGCCCTGCCAGGGCTGTGCCCTTCCGAGACCTGCAGTGTGCCCTCTACAATGGCCGCCCTGTCCTGGCCACCCAAAAGACCTATCAGTGGGTGCCCTTCTATGGAGGTGAGCTGCCTGGTTGGTCCAGATGAAACAACTCAGGGTTGGCAAGGAAGATGAGGGATTTGGAAGGCTTCATGGAGAGGTGGGCATTACTGCTAGGGCTTTGAAGGATGTGTAGGAGTTGGTCAAGTAAAGGAAGAGTAAAGCAGGGGCAGAGGAAAACGGGATTAGTTCAGCAATTCAGCACAGAGATGAACACTAATCTGAAGATTTCCTTGAGGCTGTATCCAGAGGACAACAAGCTAGCAGAAATGTTACTGCACTGAGCTGAAAATAGCGAGTTATATAACCATGTGCCCGGGGCAGCGCACCTCCAGATTGAAGGGAGAAAGGCAGCTTCAGCCTCCCAGCGAAGGCAGACAAGATAAGGAGAGCCTGGAATGGAGACTGGCCCCTCCATCAGTCTCATGGAAATGTTTTTGCCCTGAGAACTGGGGAAAATGTTTTTGCCCTGAGAACTGGGGAAAACTTGTCACCTTGTGCACGGAGGCTTGCCAGGGTCAGGTCAGCCTCCATGCCAGCCAGGGGTGGCCCGCAGGCTCAGCGAGCAGGGGGCCAGGGGCAGCTCTGTGGGAGTGGCCAAGGACTGGGGCTGTGGGCCTGTGGGTGGGATGAGGCAGGTGTGGATGTCACATGCAGCCCCGGTGAGCACAAGGGGAAACTGAGGCCTAGGGAGAGTAAGCAGCACATCCAGACAGCAGGAACTTGGTCAAGCTAGACAGACATGTTTTGTTGGGGGCTTACTGAGCACAGGGCCCAGTGCCTGGAAACTGGCAGGTGTTCAGCACGTGTCTACGGATGGGAACATGAAGGAAGGAGGGTAATATTTTCCTTGTAAAAACTTGTCCTATCAGGAATGGATGAATGAGTAGTCCCAGGCCCAGATTCTTGCTGGGCAGAGCCTCAGGGAACTAGAGGCAGCTCTTCATTCCAGTTTTGGCTCTGATTCCACCTCAAAGTGTGGCTTTGGCTGCCTCTGGGCAGCATCTGTCCAATAGGTGTGAAATTCTGAAGGCCACCTGCAGGGGCACTGGAACTCAGATGGTGTCCTTCTGTCCCCAGCACCCAACCAGTGCGATCTCAACTGCCTGGCCGAGGGCCACGCCTTCTACCACAGCTTTGGCCGGGTCCTGGATGGCACTCCCTGCAGCCCCGGTGTGGAGGGGCTCTGTGTGGCTGGCCGCTGTCTTGTGAGGATTTATCCACCCCACCCCACCCTGCCACACCTATCTCCCTCAGGCCCCACCCCAGCATAATTCCCCAGCTCCCTTTCTCAAATCCGACTTCCTCCTGCCCAAATGGGTATCTTTACTCTCTGCAGCTAGTTCAAGTCCACCAGCTGCTCTGTGGGAGAAAGATGGGCAAACTCCTCCTATGTGATTTACAACTTGCAGAAACCCCCGGAGGGTCAGCTGGAAGTCGGTTCGGCCCTGCCTCTTCCACTCTGGGTCCTCCCTTCAGAGGTCCTAACTGCTGGACCCACCCAGCACACTCATCCTAGTTGATTCTGACTCATGGTGACCCAGCAGGATAGAGTCGAATTGCCCCATAAAGTTTTCAGGACTTAATGTGTAATGTGTCAGACTGCCAAACAGGACACAGGCGGTTTGAATCCACCAGCCTCTGTATGAGAAGGTGATACTGTTTCCTCAGGTGAAGATTTACAGCCTCAGAAAACAGGGAGGGTTGCCGCAAGCAGGGACCCACTTGAGGGCAGGGACATGTGCCCCAGTCAGTACATGATATTTCAGTCACCTCATATACATGTAACCATTGGACTGTGGTGTTGGAGAAGAGCACAGTGTATCCCATGGACGGCCAAAAGAACAGACATGTCTTGGAGGTGAAGCCAGAGTTCTCCTTGGAATCAAGGATGGCGAAGGTTGGTCCGGTATAGTTTGGGCATGTTGCTGGGAGAGGCTATTCCTTGGAGAAGGATGTCATGCTTGGAAAGCTGGAGGGTCAGTGAAGAAGAGGAAAACCTTCAACCAGATGGACCGATGCAGTGACTGCAGCCATGGGCTGCACAGTGTGTCAGGGATTGAGAGGTTGGCACAGGACAGGGTTCAGGTCTGTTGTTCATAGTAAGATCGCTATGAATCCTGTTCGACTCGATGGCACCTAACAACAACAATATGTACATGCAAAGGTGGGGCAGTGACTGAGGAGTATCCAAGAATTGATGCCTTGGAATTATGGTGGGAAGAATGCAGAGAATACCACGGCCTGCCCAAAGAAAGAGGCGAGACTGTCACATAACTGGACATGTGACCAGGAGGGAGCCCACCCGGAGGACATCCTGCCTGGTCAAGGAGGGAGCAGGAAAAAGCGGAAGACCGTGGATGAGATGGATTGACAAAATATTGCAACAGTGACTCAAACATAGTGACCCTGGGAGGCTGGTGCAGGACTTGGGGCGCTGAGTCGGAATACAGCTAATGAATGACAACCACATCTTTTAATTATTACTATTATTATTTTTGTGTGTACCGTCAAATCAGATCTGACTGGTACAGGAGGAGATTGCCCCTCCTTCTCCGGCAGAGCATCTGGTGGATTTGAACTGTGTACCTCTGGGATTACAGTGCAGCTTCTTGCCACATTTACAGAGTCCCCTTGTCACATCTTTTTCCCACAGACAGGCTGGTGGGGTGAAGTCGTCACCTTTTTCATTAGCAGTCGCGCCCTTGACCACTGCATCACCAGGCTGCCACTGGACCTTTAGAGAGCCCCTCTCCCAGTTTCTATTCCACCACAGACTCCGCCCCCAACCCGGCCCTGTCATCTTGCTTTAGGCTCCGCCCTCCTGGCTCCAGACCACGCCTCCAAGCCGCCCTCTCCCCTGGCCCCGCCCTCTCTACTGGCTCTGCCCACTCCCGCCCCGCCCCTCCCAGCCAGGAGATTCATGCTGTGTCCCTTCGCCCCCTTAGAGCGCCGGCTGTGACGGGCTGCTGGGCTCAGATGCCCGCGAGGACCGCTGCGGCCAATGCGGTGGCGCCAACGACTCGTGCCTCTTCGTGCAGCGCGTGTTCCGCGATGCAGGTGAGCGCCCGTCCCGTCTTCTAACGGTGCCCTGGGAGCGGCCCCTTTAACTACCCACGGTCCCCGCCCCCCTGATGCAGTGTTGCACATTGATTGGATACGATGAGGCCCAGCCTCTAGGATCTTCATCCCGATTGGAGACAGACAGATCATCCCGCCCGCTTCAGAACCGACCGAGCTTTAACCTCTTCCCTGCTGCATGTTAAAAACCCTAACTCCAGATTCCGCCCGAGCCCTGAACTGGCTAGCCGCCTCATCTTTATTTTATTTAATTTTATTATCTTACTAAATAAATTATTTTATTTAATCTTCACGTCACCCCTACACTCCCACCCCCCAGGCGCCTTCGCCGGGTATTGGAACGTGACCCTGATCCCCGAGGGAGCCAGGCACCTCCGCGTCTCGCATCGGAGCCGCAACCACCTGGGTACAGCAGGGTCTGGGGGGCCATGGGGGTGTCCGGTTACACTGGGGGAGCCGGGGGCGTGCGGCCAGCTCCCAGAAGCCCACTGACCCGTCCCTTGCAGCGCTGATGGGGGGCGACGGGAGCTACGTGCTCAACGGGAACTGGGCAGTTAGCCCACCCGGGACCTACGACGTGGCGGGCACCCGCGTGGTCTACACCCGCGCCACCGCCCGGCCGGAGGAGACACTCCACGCCGCGGGGCCCACTTCGCACGACCTGCTCCTGCAGGTGAGGGGCGAGGTCTCGGGCCCAGCCGGGTGGGGTCCTCGGCCTCCGGGCCAGCTCATGGCGTCTCCCTCCCTCCCCAGGTCCTCCTGCAGGAGCCCAACCCCGGCATCGAGTTCGAGTTCTGGCTTCCCCGGGAACGCTACAGCCCCTTCCAGGCGCAGGCGCAGGCCCTGGGCTGGTCCCTGCGGCAACCGCAGGCGCGCGAGGTGGAGCCGCCGGCGCGCCCCCCGACCACCGCCCCACGGACGCCAGCTGCAGCCCCAGGTGACGGGGAGGTGGGGCAGGGTGGGGGCGCGCAGCGGGGCGAGGCCTGGACCCCTCACCACGCGTCCCCACAGACCCCTGTGCGCCCTGCCCGGACGCCCGAGGCCGGGCCCACCGGCTGCTCCATTACTGCGGCAGCGACTTCGGTGAGACCCCCGCCCCAGCCCACGCCCGCCCCTGCCCGGCCCCCCCAGCGCCGGAGCCCAGCCCCTCCCCGTGCAGCTGGGTGCGGGGCGCAGAGCGCGCCCCCAGCCCCGCTGCTCACAGTCTTCAGGGCCCGCGTCCTCGGCCGTCACCGGCAGGCCCAGGAGACCCGCTACGACGTGCGCGTGCAGCTGGTATACAAGAACCGCTCGCCGCTGCGGGCCCGCGAGTACGTGTGGGCCCCGGGCCGCTGCCCCTGCCCGCCGCTCGCACCGCATCGCGAGTACCTGCTGGCCGCCCGGCGCCTGGTCAGCCCCGACGGCACGCAGGACCGGCTGCTGCTCCCGCACTCCGGCTTCGCGCGGCCCTGGAGCCCAGCAGAGGACAGCCGCGTGCGCCTGCTCGCCCGCCATTGCCCTGTGTGAACCTTCTAGCCAAGGCCCTCGCCCACCAGCGGGAAGGGCAGACCTGCCCAGGCTGCAACGGGCCCCAGCGCCCCTCTTGTCCTGGCGTCCAGGCGCCCAGAGCTTTGTGACTCCCGGTCACACACGTACACCCCGCACGCAGTCACAGCCACTGGCAGGGGTGGCCACGCCAAGCACACCAACTCTAGTTTCCTCTGTTGCCCTGGCTGCCTGGAAGCGTACAGCAAATTCTGTTGGCTTTTGTTCTAACTTCCTGACTTAGAGCCACTGGCCTTGGCAAGCTGTCTAAGAAGCTTTCTAACAAGAATGTTGCATCTATACATCAGTTTCTTTTCTTGCCCTGGCTACAAACCAGAAGTCGAACTCTGCTTCCCTCCCTGACACTAGTCTTCTCTCTCTCTCTCTCTAACACACACCCACACACACCACACACTCCTACACACACCCCCTCAAGTACGCAAAGCCACTGTCGCAGACACCCCCCCCCTATCAAGTACACAGACACTGGCAGACAGGCACGGCACACCCCTTAGAGGACTTGTGTAGTAGAGGCACTGAAACCTACCCATTTCCCCCCTTGCTCTGGCTCCCAGGAAACTCAAGAGTAATTTTGATGCCATTCTTGGCATTTCCGGTTGATTTTCTTCCAGTTACTACTGCTCTCATTTAATTTTCACAAACACTTTCTTTTTTAGTGAAGTACCCCCTTGACACACACCTGGCTGCAGAAATTTCAGGGTGCTGGCAGGACCAGGCCCTCAGTGTTCCCCTCCCCCCCACCCAGCCCCACCCTTGCATGTCTGACCCCTCTGTGGTGCTGGGTGGGGAAGGTACAAGGACCAAGGCAGGTGGGGATATGGGACTTTTCTAAGCCCCTTCTGGGGCCATCCATGCACCCCAGGACCAGCCAGAGGGTCCCTCCGGCTGGGATGAGCCCCAACCCCATCACCCACCTGTCTGGCACACCGTCCTGTGGGGTTGCCCCCCCTTCCGCCCCTCACCCTGAATGCAGGTGACTCACGCTGTTTGTAGGGACAATCTGCTCTCCCACACTATCCGTGGTTGTGTCTTTTTCTGGGATGCAGGCGGGGACTGGGGCTGGGCGTGAGAGTGGGGTGCAGGGCAGAGGGAGTAGGGCAGAGCAAGGGTCTTCCTCTGAGTCGATGGCAGTGTATGAAGTCCAGGTCTGGCCCAGTCCAGCTCTTGACCTTCAGCTGGGCCCCACACCCTCCCTGTGACTCAGTTTTCCAAACTTCCAGCAAGTATTCTTGGTTCCATCAAACACACAGCTCGCCTGAGCCTCCCCTTCCTGCGCTCGTGCATTCCAGCTTTATTGAGCTCTTACTGTAGGCAGGGACCTCCACTGTCGTCTGCAGCAAGGTGCTTGGGGGAGGGTCCCCAGGGCCCAGCCAGGGGGGAGGGGGGTGCCGCCCGGGAGGATGAGTGGGGCCCGCGCGCCCCCTGCTGGAAGCTCCGTAGCACGACAAGGCAGAATTTGACACGCCCCACTTTGCCCGCACCCTCAAGTGCCCTGAAACCCTCCCTGCTTTCCCCATCAGCCACCTCACACTGGCCCTGCCACCCACAACAACCACGTTGCCCTTGCCGATCCCACAGACACTCTTGTCCCCTGTGCTACTGCTACATGCAAAGATTATTAGGTGGGGGGTGGTCACTTTGGTCTGGAGCTCCTTGGGGTCTCAAGGACTCCAGATGCTTCTGTGCCCAGATATCTAGGCCAGCTAGGGGAGGCGGAGGAAGGGATCTGCACGGGGGCTGCCAAAGCACCCGGAGAACAGGCAATGGGAGGTCCCACTGGGAACAGACCCCAAAGTCAGAGGCTGTGAAGATGGACAACAGGGTGGAAAGATGGTGGGACTCCCCACGCGGGGGGCATCCCCACTACCGGGTCACTTGGGGAGAGATAACCTAGTGTCCCTTGAGCAATGACTTCCCTGGGGCTCTGGCGCTGGGCAGTCATTGGCTGGTCATGGGCATGTGACAAGCTCAGATGAATGTGACCCTCTTGCTTGGTGCCTTAGATTTAAAACAAATACTGAACAATTTAACTAGAGTATCTGTCCATTTTAAAGCTCCTCTGTATCAGCAAAGATATTTCATGTGGGAATTTGCATTAACATTCAGCTATTTGGATGGATGGATGGATGGATGGATGGATGG